GCTGCACAGGGACACCAAAATTTCACAGGTGCTATACAGGTTGCATTATGACTTCCTCCACCCATCTGAAACTAGTTCAGCAGCAGGAACGACATTAGTCGATGAAGAGGGGACTTTGTGCTATCCCCGGTTAAACGCTTCTTATGTAGAGTCAGGGTCTACTTCCATACAAGAATCGAACAAGGATGAACCAAGCTTGAAACTTCGTTTTGTTGTACTGGTAAGTGCAGTATTCTAAACATACGTGAGTGACATTCTGGATGCTATTTAACAGGATCTACACCAGAGCCAGCGAAAACAATTTTTACGCCACTTACTTCCCATGTTTGTAGGAAGAACATCTTCAAACATCGAACCGGAATAGCAAGCATCCACGTACAGCACCAATTTGTTGTACTTTTTTTTTGAATACATGTAGGCGAGGGTATCGTTCAACTCCGTCGCATAGAGCTGTCGCAAGACAAGAAGGAAAATTCTCTTGACTTGGAGATAGCCAAGGGATAAAAGCATGAAATTAAGGATTTCCAACCCAATCTCAGCATTTCGATTGTTCCTTTGTAGGCTTTTGTAACTTATAAGTGTCTCAACCCTCGTGCTTCCTTTGGGTGGAATAGCAGCTGGGCACCAAATGGGTGTTGCAGCTGAACGAGTAAGGTTTTTTCAGAAATACTGTCCAACGGAATCAGTTGAAGGATAAAAATTGAATGCGTTTTGCTTAGTCCTCCTAAAGTTATTACTGAGAACCCTGTTTTTAACCGGATGTATCACTTCCATATCTATGGAGATGATTTTAGCCCTAATCAAGTTTGACGTAGTTTAGGGAGATTTCCATTGAGTTGGACACTTCCAAATGTCATCTTACTACCAACAGACTGCAAGTAGTTCAGAAGGGATTAATTCACACAGATGAACGGAATTTTATGTGAGAACTTGTCACTCGAGGAGTCAGTCACCAGTGATGTGGATCCTTTGATTAAATAATGAGCGGCACTATGTCCTGACTATGTGCGGACAAATCAGGCTGTGCTGTTGTTTTCCATGGCCGAACGGTTAAGCACTGCAATTACTAAGCGCAGCACTGATGATTCCAAATAAGGATTGAACAGTTGTACATTGCTTCTCGGTTTTTCATCACTGATTGGTTTTCCATACAGAAATACGAAAACCTCTTCATACTACCAAAGATTCGCGCTGTCTGTCCAGAGGAGTATGTTGCCTTGTCAGGAAGAACTCGGCTGACGTCTTCCTTGTATCATCTGCGCCCCATGAGTGACCGTATACGGCCAGCTTCTTTGTTTATGGTATACATGTATGCTCATCAGTCTACGTGGATCGACCGCGGAACAAAATCTACGTGGCGTTAGCGTTTGAAGCACCTTGACGAGATATACCGTACTTAAATTGCTGGGGGATATCACTTTAAGAGAGATGTCCGAACCTTGTTGCTTGTGTTCCAATTTACGGTTGATATGTAGGCCAAAATTTAAATACAAACTCCCTTTCCTAAAGAATTACCGATGAAAAGCCACCAAATGTAGTTTTCGAGGCTTTTCTAATCCGTTTGCTACTCAGCTTCCTATGGAATAACCGTGGTTACCAAAATTAGGTAAACTTACATCTTCTTCTAGGAAGGTAATAAGTGAAATCCCACCATGCCCAGAGTAGAAGATGAACACGTTGTCATCACGACCGCTGTAAGTGGGCAGAAAGATTAAGGTGGTCTTGAAGGGAAGCTTATTGGGTGGCGCTCTTGCGCATAGGAAATCACAACAAAAAACTCGCGGAAACGGAAGCATAGCAAACACATAGTTCAGAATATTGTTTTTTACATGCTAATGGATATAATCAGTAGCTAATGTAACTTCCACTAGCCTGCTATTTTCATGGCCACATGAATACGGGAATAAAAATTCGATTCCATGGACGTCTGTTGGTTAATTCTTGTATCACAGGATATAGTAGCTCCTATGGTTTTGAATGCATGAAGGTGGTTGTAGGCAGTTTTCTACTTCAGCTAGTTTCATCGTCTTGCCAATGGAGTGGTCACACGCAACTCTTTCCGAATGAAGCTCTTGGTAACATAATTACATCTATTTATGAAAACATCTACGTAATGCATACTACTGGGAAAAATATTGTAATCAAGATGAGGCGACCCCACATTTTGGACACGGATATCCAAGATGCCATATGGTTTTACCTGAACCTGATCTGGAAATGTCCCGTTTGTTCGTCGTTGATCCAGATGGTATTCATCTGTTCTTTTCTCTTGGAGATCAGCGTGCAAATGTTTCATCACCAAGTGGAAGGATATAGTAAGTGAATATTTGGGTCGGCGGTTCATCCACACGTGTCTGATATTATGCAGCTGTTACTGGCTGAAGGGAGCAAACATTTCTCGGGGTCCAAATGGTCCATTTCGAACTGTGCTGCGTTGTGGCCTGCATCCCCTGAATTCGTTGATGCTTTGAGTAGATTCTGTTTGAGGACCTTTTGTACATGGTCTAATTAATCGGTTGCCGATTTCTGCTGTGTCGCAGTCTGGCTTTCCACATTCGATTGGTTCTCACTCCGACTTCTGGTTTTGGTAGTACATTTTAATTGGCTTGTTCTGAATTGCTGTTGTGTTGTAGCCTGATTTTCTGAAGTTTGTTTCCGTGAATGCTCTTCCAGTTATGAAAGCTGGTCTATTGTGCAGATGAGTTTATCACCCTTGCTCACCTATTCTCTCTTTGCTTCTCTATCCCAACAAACTACAGACGGGATCGGAAACACTAAATTTGGTCGGCTTAGGATTAGAAAAGCCATTAACCACAATTCTGTCTATTTACTCATTAGATCTGAAGACGAATCTGGCTAAAGCAGAAAACAAACCAGGTAGTGCAAAAATGGGGGAAACAGGTAACGTCGAGCTCACGTAAGATAAATTTTTGTACAACGTTAACCAAGTTTCAAAATACAAACAATTGGACTCACAATATGGCAAGTAACAGAAATATCCCTTTGGATATGCCCAACGAAATATTCTGTCTGAGAATGTGGGTTTCCAGAAAACTAGCTTGCTTTCACAGAATATAGTGTTTGTGACAGGCAGCGGAAACTTTGAACTCCAGATACATTACTACTTGGCGGGTGAGTTCAGAAATGAGTGTCTGTCAAAATGAGTGCTTTGGGAGGGTGAATGCGGGAACCGCTCACTCCAGGCTATTGGTAGGACAGGCAGAACTTCAGAATAGAGCTTGTATGAACAGCTACTAGACCGCTGATGTGGAATGGCGACCAAACAGATCACAGTTCTGAGACTTGAAGCCGAACGATAGCAGACCACTAACTAACTCGAAGCTCTTTGAGAAGGATCATCAATCAGTTTTCACAAATGCTACTAAATCAAGGGTGTTTCCTTCTAACAGTAGACGAAAAATATCGATCTGCAGGAACTGGGAATATGTACAGAATCTTCCATCCCAGGTACGCGTACGAAGCATTGGTCAATAAGGAAACACGCACAAAGAGCGAGTGATTACGAATCGCGTCGCAGTTCCAAATTCAAACAGTGGATAACTGACCGGATGTGAGATTTACGGTTTGCTAGTGAATAAACGTTTGCCTCGTTTCCTGGCTTATCTCCGTATACCGACGTTATCTTTCTCGTCATGTGCAGGTCAAGAAGGCGTGGAGGGAATTTCGAAAGAACAACACAGAGCTTAAGGCGAGACATGTATTCTAAAAGCTGAGAGTATTATCGATGAATGGCGATACAGATTTGAGGGACCGCCATAAAACGACAGGGCGCCAGTGGACTTGGATTTCGATTATCCAATCAGCAGTGCTCAATTGTTTGGGTCAAAACAGTGAGTTAAATAAATCCTAAATGCGAGCATGCCCAAATCGACTGACCACAAGTTGTACAAGACCAAGCACATATTTGACCACTCACAACTGCGCATATCTGAACATTTTTGAAACTTGTTAACAGTGGCGATTGATGTCTATGATATAATAATAACCCATAGTCTGAAATCGCTAACCGGGTTTCCCACGCAGTGAATCAAAACCATTTTGCTGACTTCTGGGAGCTTTACCTAAATAGATAATATATCACATTAATTTCGAGAATACTAAACACGCATTTCGTATATCCCAAAACTCTAACCTGGAACACTAGAATTCTAGCTGTGCTCAGAATTGCCTCAACAATATCCACCTCCGGCCGAACTCACCTTTTCAGCACCTTCTTCCCTGTTTTCTCAAGTTTCTTATCACCTTTTAATACATCTAAGAAAATATCCCGTTTGACATCCTAAAACAGATAAACACTCATGATCAATTATTCAACAAATTATCAATTATTCTTGTGACAATGGTGTTATCCACACCCGCTGTAAACATTCGTTTGCAGCCCAATTAATAATTCACATTAAGAATCTGCTCTCCATCTTCACTCGTATTATTTCAAATCTAGGATCGGTTCTCCATCTTCACTCGGGTTTTTTCACGATGCTCATTGTATCCTGAAAACTTAAGAATACGATTGTTGGTCTGTTTGCCAAGCACGACATTTGGCTTTGCTCGTAAAGCCCATTGTTGGCAGCTGAGTTGAACATGAATCACACGGAAGCACAACGAATAGCCCTCGTCTACCTCAGTAGCTAGAGAATGAAGCTCACTTGAGAACTAGGCGCTATATTGAAGTGAGAACTACTCATCAGCACTCAAGCGAATCACAGTTGAACGTCTAATTTATGATACTCTTTTCGTGGTTCTTTTGACAAGGACGCTGGCCTACTCGACAAGCCGAAAGCAAAAGTTTTATATATTGTGTCATTTTACTTGCACAGTGTGTTACACGGTGAACTGATGCAGGAATTTACTTGATTGCTGCGCACCGGAACACGGACTTACTTTTCCACGGTAGTCAATTACCACACCCATGTAGACATCTTCGTGCTCGTAGTCATGGAACACTTTACCTTTAAACGGATTTCTGTAATCAAAGAATGAAAATTGGCTGTGGGGTTTCGGGAGAAATTTACATGTAAGTCGAATGGAAAGAAATGAAAGGCTCATAAATTCTGTTTGAAGTTGGTTCCCGGACTTGTTTTCGAATAAACTTTCCCGGCAATGAGTGCATTCTGTGACGTAATTTCGATTAACCAAAGGTCCATAACGGAATAATGATGCATAGATCCTACAATGATCCCGGTAGAGTGCACAACAAAGAAAATTACAAATGTTGTGCCAAAACGTAGTTGTTTTAGGTAACCTTATATTCAAACACCACCAGTAGTATATTTAATGGGCATATCCATATTCAGTGCCCTTAAATGTAATTCGATTGGGCAGGGAGCGAGATGGTTCAAGGGCTGGAGCGTGGATTTACTGACCGGGAGTTCCGTGGTTCTAACCCTACCTTTGCCTCCCAACCTCTTCTGTCTAGGCTTGAGAAACCTGGCAGTACCCCAGCATTCGTGCGACCTTCGTGTAACATGGCAGCTAGGCACCTTAAAGATGCTACAGCCGAACGAACGATTAGGCAATAAACGACTTACGATCATTACAGTCTCCACGCAAGAACCCAAATTTTATGCTTTTAGAAGTTTTTCTCCTAATCGACTGCATAGCAAAATGTTAAGCTTGCTAGATTGTCTGCTTAATATTTGCTCCAAATCGTCAGACGGCTGATGCCCCAAAACGACATCTAGATATCACTGTCATTAATTTCAGACTACTGCAAATCAGGCGAGAACATGCCATCATCATCTTCTTCATCGTCAAAATTTGTTGCTTGCATCAGGGTTCTATGGTGTCTACGGGCATCAAAATGCATCAAATAAAAGAAAATCTGATGTGCAACCTGAAGTGATGCATCAAACCCCATAATTGTCTGCAACTCGACTTCATCAATCATACACATGAGAAATGCAGCACAACAATGGCACATGTTAAAGTCAAACAACAAAGCGTGTTTTATACCCTCCAGTTGCCATCATTTAGCGAAAATTGTACGCGATATTTACTTGGGATTGTTCGCAATATCGTCGTAGGCGAAGGTAATTATATTCTCCGGTGGAACTTTGTTTTTACGCACGACTTGATACGCGTGGAAAACGTCCGCCTGAATGAGAACACAATGGCACGTGAATTAAGGATACCAGGCAGAGTGGGGCATGGATGCTAAAGAAGGCATGTAGAGTGTGTAGGATAAACCATACTTCGTGAAGTATCAGTTATCCCAATAGCGTTTGGATGCATTATCCCAAGAACGGGAGGCATGATTCCAGTCTGAAGGGGCCTGTATGGACCACAGTTCTACATTCAGTGAATTATCAGAACAATGACCTGCGCACCGGAGCTGTACAATCTTGGTTTTCCTTGTCTCCGAAAATACGTCCGAAACCGTCGTTCGCTTGCATACTAGACAAATAATGACACCACAGCGAAATTCAGTGGCAATAAAATATTACCCTAAGAATGGATACAGACGAACTCATTATGTGTAACTTTTTCAATACGGTTCTCACAAAACCCCATGCAAATGGTACCCTGGCGGACGAACGGATTTCACCAAGATGGATTTCTATATGTTTATTCCAAATACACTGTACTTGATCTCACCAAGTAGTATGGATTTGTCCCCTCAGATTGTCTAGCAATTCCGGTGCTTTCGCCGTAACGGCCAATGTCGTTGCTACGTCAGTGGTCTTTGTTGAGATTTCTTGGACCTTGTTGTATTCAGCAGGTCCCCCTGGGCGACGGTGCTGCGGAGTCCGGGAGCGTTACTCTAATATGATGAAACTACAAAGCAAGATTAGGTGATTAGTGGTTGCTTGAAAACCATCGAATTCCTGGAATCGTCTTGTTTTTATGCAACACCATACCTTCTACTCGCAGGCCATGAGATTTCACCTAACGGAACACCTAACGCAACAATAAGCACTTGTGGGTAACGATGGTGGTTACGACTAACGTAAATCACGGCATGCACCTCAGTAACATCTGAGTTTAATAGGACCGAAGAAATATCGTTGTAGGACAATGAAATACTGACGAAAACGAATACAGGCCACGAAATGTGTCCATTTATTGTGGCTACTATCCGTCACCTTTTCCATGACAGCCCTGGGGAAAACCAGGTGGGACACAGCTGTTTTGGGGTACCAATAGTGCAAATTTCCACTTTGAAAATCCTTTCTTGCGTTATTTAGATGAACGTTTGAGAGTCAAACAAATGGGAAACGCAATGAAACCTACTTGGTGTTGATAATTTTCCCAGGTGTTGGAACCGGCGACAAGGACTACCCAGTTCTTTGACGGCTTGTTGTTACATAAGGATGACCAATTGTGGACACCCACGGCTTCCAAACATGCGAGATAGTCTATGCAGAACAAGAACTCAACAAGAAGCGAACAATGACGCATCGTATCCCGGCTTACACGAAGCTTTATGTGCCTCGAATTTTATACTGTGCGCCTCTTATGGGTCGAACTTCGCCTTACAAATGTATGACAATAGTGTGAAAAAGGTATCCACCATGAATCACGTAGGACGGCGGTACAAAGTTTATGCTCGTCAGGGTATGATCGGCCATTTTGATCACTTGTACAATGACTGATCATTTGCTCAAACTTTTTACAGCAATGCGTGCACATTGGCGATTTGTGGTGTTTTCTAGTACAAATGTGGATCATTTCGTTGGGCGCCTATACGCTTCAGACAGTAATGAGCAGCAAACTGAGTCCGCAGATTGGTTTCACGTAGCGGCTGGCTTCATAAGTACTTTTACTGAAAAGTTTGGTACCGGAGGGCATCAATGCGGGTACTCGGTGAAGGGCTTCCCTACATTCACTGGTACATAACTCACAAACTGGATATTGCAGATATTTCGTATACACGTTGCTGTATACTAACGAGTAGAACGTTGGGTCACTCCGAAATCAATGAGCCAGATGTTCATCACCTCGTTCAAGTTCATGTCGACCTTTAAGCTAAGGAAATTACGTTTGATTTATCACCGGTAAGTAGCTAGGCTCTGGGGGCGTGCTTGTTGACTATGTTCCTTCTGGAAGTCACATCACTCACAAGTTTGCTGAAAATCCTTCGACAGCTCACCACCAGTTTCGTCATTCTTCGTTATCAGTGCCCAAGTTTCCATCTACCCTCCCATTCTATTGGGACCAAACTTGGGCAAATTTTGAGGACTTCGCCCGTTTGCACATGAATTCGGTTTTGACAAGTTGCCGAAATATTTCTGCCCTAGTTGACTAGTTTACTCAGGAATATACCTTCGAAAATTACACAAGTAGTAACCTTGGCGGAATACCATCCCTTTGTCGGGCGATTTCGTCATCGAATCGAAATGGGCTGACAAAGTGTAGATGTGGTTTTTCTAACGTCGATCGCAGTAGTAGACAACCTTAG